CAGCTTCGATATGAACTCCCAGCATCCCCCATAAAGAAACCAATTCTTTTGTAACTTCACATTTTGGTTTCTCAAGGTCCTCGATGTACTCGCAGTTAAGACCAGTGGGTTTTCAAACTCTAACAGTGAAAACCTCAACGGTTCTGGACCAACGAGACACCACAGCTCATACTTCTTCTTTATGTCCAGCTGGTAACTGAGCATGTAGTGAACCAGCCTTGAAGCCCAACCAAATCCCAGCTCTTTGAACTTGATGAAAACACCCAACTTCGACTCCTTCAGCTCTGCATATTCCTCATCTGTAAGAGCATCCTTAAGAGCAGTTTGCAACTTCGTATTATCCGAATGATACGAAATGCTATTATGGACTTCTGGCTCTTCCCCTGATGTATATAACCTACGGGGGAGTTTTGGAAGATCCATTTTTTTTTCTGCAAAATAATCAAAGACAACAACAGAGATAAGCAAAACAAACTAAATCTAACAAAGCTTTCAACTTTCATTAGCAGGAACTCACATAGAATTCAGAACACAAGCTAAATCAATCACGCTTTAATTGTAACTCTGGACGACTTAGTAGACGACTTATAATTAAGTCGTCAGGAAAGTCTTCCAGCTGGACGACTTAGTAGACAACTTATATTTAAGCTGTCTGTAAAGTCGTCCAGCTGGAAGAATTATAATTAAGTCGTTTACTAAGTCGTCCAGTTGGAAGACTTTCCAGACGACTAAATTATAAGTCTTCCAGTATAACATTTTAAACCGGACCTGATTAGACGGAGAAGAAGTAGTCGCCGTCGACATATCGGTTATAGTTCTGAAAATTTAAACGTGAAAAAAGAAGCTCAGTGAGAACGAGTATAAAAATGGTTAGAGACAACGTTTATGTTCATCTTTTCCTCAATCAATCCCTCGACAGTAAGAGATATGACTTACCGGCGTTAGGGTTTACAGAGAAACGGCGCTAGGGTTTAAAGGAAGCAGCAGTGAGAGCGTTGGTGAGCACGGTGGTTAGAACGGTGGTGAGAACGGATAGATAACCGGCGGTGAGATGATGGTTTGTTTGGAAATAGTTGGAAATCGCCTTTGAGAGAAACGGCTTTAGGAATTCTGAATTTTGCGAAAAAATGAACAAAAAACACCTTATATATCGGGTAAATAAACCGGCTAGGTTAAAAAGTACATTGGTAAAATTAAAGGTTTGGTCCGGTTTGGACGACTTACTAGTAAGTCGTCTGCCGGATAATGTACATCGGAAGACTTAATATTTAGTCATCTGTATGCAGACGACTTAAATTAATGTCATCCGAGACCCTAAATTGGACCCCTAAACTAAATTCATTAAATTAACTAACTAACCACGTTATAAAATCAAATTATACTTAAATAGTGTTTACTATACACATAAATGAACACACTTAGGTAGATTTTAAATTTTTCAAAAACATTCTTAATGCTTTCCAAAATCTAACCCTAAGAATACATACAATACTACAACATATGTTGGTGAAACCGAAACTAAAGAATATCATGACTCACTACTTTCACTCATCTATGCTGAAAACAACGGACTTTTGTTAAATCTTAATTTATATCTCTTAAGACATATGTTAGTTACATAATCCTAATTTTTCATTTATCAAAATATTTATTACAAAAATTTTAAATTATTTTTAAGAAAAACTATCTCAGACGACTTTCAGTTAAGTCGTTTGGACGACATATTTGAAAGTCGTCTAGGCAAACGACTTGCAAGGGCTAGAACGTAAAAAAATACCATTGTTTTGTTTGTTCACAAGGGGTTGGTTGTAATTTCAGTAACCTTTTAAGTTACTTTTGCATTTGATTCAAGTTTGAGTTTACTTTTGCATTTCAAATCAAGTTTTGAGTTATATTTGGCAATTTTCCCTACATTGTGATATGGATTGAACCTAATATAACTAGATATAGTTGAGTTTGTCTTGAAAATTATTCTTCATATGCCCAGTCGACTAATTTCTTACCAACAATGTTTTTTTTAATTATACACATAAGTTATTACATATAACAAAATTGAAAATGATCTTCTAAAAAATTAGATATCATCTATAAAATGCTGTATTTGTAACTAAAATACATGAATTGTCTAAAAAATAGATTTTTATTAAATATTTATATTTTATAGAAAATAATCCTGCGCTTTCAAAGCGCGAGTCAAAATCTAGTATATATATTTTTTGAAATGGAGAAGAAGAAAACAAGATGAAGGTTTTTTTTTCTTTTTTGAAGAAAAGCTAAGATATATTTACAGATTTTTCGATACTTCAAAGATTTATCTTTGATACTTGAAAGCTAATATTGTTTCGATACTTCAAAGATTTGTTTTTTTAAACAAAATTTATTTGTTTTTAGAAGCGTTAGTTTAAAAATAAAATAAATTATGATGATAAATAATTGAGAAATACTTTGGGAAATTTGGTAAATTTATATATACTAATGATTGTTTTTCAAAAACCTTAAATGATTGTGTAGTTTTCAAATAAAAATCTTAGTTCAGTGCATTTCTCCAAATTTTCCTTATAAATTAAAAAAAATAGCGTTAATAATATTATGAATTTTTTTAAATTAGGCATAAAATAAGATAGCAATTGTTTAAGACCTAAAACTCAAAGAGAAAATTCTCAAATTAAAATCTTCTAATTTTTGTTTCTTGGCTCACCCTTCAGCAAGATTCATTTTCAGCATTTCACGTTTGATCTTCCTGCAACAAATTAAAATTTATTATATAGAAGTCAATTGCTTAAAATATTTTCAAACAGAAAACATTCTCTTCAAATGATTTTATTTTAGAAGTTAGATAAACATTTATACAAACTAAAAACTTCTATCTAAAGTTAAAAAATATCCTTTTTAAAAAGTAAAAATGTTTTGAAAATAGTTCTTTCTTAAAATATTATTTTGACGTGTCTAAAACATATTAAATTTAAAAACCAAAATTATATAAATTTTATTTATAGCAAAAAAAGTACACATAATTCTGAAAATAATATTTTCAACAAAAAGTTATATAACCTTAGATCTACCAAGAACCCAACAACTAATCCAAATTCATTACAAACTGAATTAAAATAAATACTAAAACAAAATTACAACTTTAATTCCAAGAAAATTTACCAACTCGTTCACCAAAAAAAAAAACAATATACACTTACAAAAATCTAACATATAACAACTTAAACTAATTGATAGCATTACTTACATGTTTTTAGTGGTGACTGGAGATGAATTTGTATAAAAATGGAGAGTAAACAAGGTGAAATTTTAGAGAGAGAATTTTGAGTTTTGTATAGTGAAAGAAGAAGTTTATTTCTCAATTAAAAATTAAAATTTCTGACAGGTTAAAACCGTCATAAATTTGCAGGTTGTTGAAAAGTTAAGCGACAATATTTTGCGTCAGGAAACATTTCCTACAGCATAAATCATTATAAATATGGATTAGTTATGGATTTTTTCAGAAATTTTCGACGCAACTTTGATAACTAAAATCATTACTAATATCAACAAAATGCTGTCGAATTTGTGTCAGAAATTTCAAACTGATTTTTAATGAAAAAATGATTATTAATACCGATGGATTTCCAATGCCCAAATTCAATACCAGTATCAACGGAAAATTGTCAGGAGTTTCGGAAATTTCTGACGAAACTCTAACAACACAATTTTCCAGAATTTCATCAGATATTTTTGACATAAAAAAAAATCGGCCTGAAATTTCGTTGGAATCTGCCGTGTTCTCTTGTACTGATTCCTTCAACCACTATAATACAATCCACTAAAAGGGAGACACGGAAATAACATGATGGAAAAGATATAGCAAGTAATTTACCAAAAACGATATAGCAAGTATTTGGGTTAGCTAGCTTTAAGAAAGTATTCAGGGTTAATCTGCTTAATAATTAAATTGAGGATACAAGAGAAAGCTCATCTTTCCTTTTTCATTACTTTTAAATTCTGTTCAATCCGGATTCCATTCCGTTTCGATTTCTTCAGTTTTTTGGTATTTCGATTTATAATTAGCTACCATAATAAAACCATGTCTAATTTGGTTTAGTTTGGTTTATATATTGTCGGTTTTTAGTTTATTCAGTTTTATACCAAACAACCATAAGTATATTTATCTTTCATAACAAATTTTAGATTATATGATTAGAAATCATATCTATTAAAGCATAAATATACAGTATATTATTTACTCTAATTTTAAATATAATTGTTGTTTTATTTAAATATTAAAATAAAAGTAAGAAAATACAAATATCATAATATTGTATAAAACTATATCTTAACACGAATAGTTACCAATAAAAATAAGAATTATTATGAAAACTAACCTTTTTAATAACCATTATTAAATTCAGTGTTTTAATTATGAATAGCCTATTAATAAAATAAATATGCATATATTATTAATTTTATTATAAAATTAATATATAAGTATACTAATATTTCCAGTTAATCATTGTTTTGTTTATTCAGTTTGATCGATTTTTATACCGAACCATATCTATATATTATGGTTTCTTAAAAATAAAACCCATTTAGTTTATTCAACAATACTAAATTCAAACCACTTTCTCTATTTTGCTTCGTTTCAGTTTTAATTGGTTTGATTTACCGGAATGAACACCCCTTTTAATCACCGGATATCCGTTAAAAACATGCAGCGGTTCAATTGATAACTTGGCTTGTTCTCTTGGTTTGAGTGCTGTTTGGGAAGGGTTTGAGCCGCTCGTCCGTTCCGGACATGTTTTGAGAACTTTTTACGTAATGTTTTTCAAAAGGCAGTGTATAAATACAGTTTGGCATAATCAAATTAACTCTAACAACTTAATATTATATGGTAAATACAAGAAATTTGTCGCCTCCATTTTGACGAGAAGAAAACAGAAAAAAAAAATCATGCACATGGAACGAGTCGTAATAATTCATTCACAATAATTTTAATATATTCCAATTGTTCGCTAGTAACTTAGATTGGTAATAAGCGCCAAAGTATTACTAGTCGTTGTTGCAAGTTCCTCGACAACCTTCATCACCATCTTCTTAGTTTCTTTATTCACTTTCACCTCTTCGAATCCGTCCGTACAAGTCCCTTCGTCGGTCAAGGCCGAGCTCAGCCAAGTCCTAACGTTCGCTATATGCTCAGCTATAGAGTCACCATCTCGTATAGTCTTCATCTCCGTGATCGCTTGCTTGAGCTCAACAATTGTATCCTCCATCTCCTCAAGGCAGTCCTTGAGTATCAGCGTTTCTGGTACCATTCTACTCTTTCGCCCGGCTGCAGATTTCTGAGACTTTTTAAGAAGCTTAGAGACGACAGAAGTCGCTTCTTTTGCGGATTTCACGTTGAGTTTAAGCGCTGTAGTGCATAGCTTGATCGGGTCAGATTTGATGGCCGTGGAGTATGTGGATAAGGACTTGTAGCATTTGTCAGGGTATGTTGTTAAATTGCTGCTGTCGTTTTTACGAACAATTTGTGGGTTTGGGAATAGAATGATGGAGTGGCTGCTGTCGTTTGGATGTTTGTAGATGAAAATAAAACGAAGAGGAACTGCGATATGTTGATGGCTTCCATTTTTCTGTCCTATTTTCTTTAACAGTTTACCTTTCGAGTGTGAACAAATTTATATAGACGAATTGTGCAACTATTTTGTATCTTGTGTATTATATATATACAATAAAAGACAGACACCTTAGGTTCTTAAATATATTGAAGGAAAGAACTGAATAGATCTCTCTTTTTGAGAAAACGTACGAATATGGTTAGATTATATCGGACCATGTATGTATATTATTACTCTATGGTTTCTTAACATAAGAACAAGACTGATATATATCAATGTATGTGTTATACATACGTGTGTACGTAATTTATTTCTTGAAAGGTGGTTAGGAAATCTTATAATATATCAAGGTCAACTCTCAACCTTCTGAATTACATACTCCCTATACTGTCGAATGGTTCTTTTATTTTTACTTTTCTTTCAAAAGACAGTAAATATGATTCCGTATGATCATGTGTTTTTCTCTCTATTGGTATAAGTAGTTTGTACTCAAATGATCAATCTATCTTATTAAAACAAGAGCATTACAATTTATGATCATGTGTTTTTCTCTATTGGTATAAGTAGTTTGTACTCAAACCGTCAATCTATCTTATTAAAACAGAAGCATTACAATTTCTTCTAGGTGAATTTTTAAGTTACATTTATATTATTAATCTATAGTTTAATTATGATATGATATTATTGTTATTAGGATATCTAATAAAGATATATTCTACGCCTATATTCTGTTATAGTTTCCTATAAATTCTAAAACAGAATCACGTAAAATATCTATATATTTAATAATAACTAAATTTTAGATATGCTTTATTTAAAAGATTTGATCCGGTGATTCATTTTCAATATATACTTACCTAAATATAGGTAACCATTAAAATCGATTAGTAAGATCCTATATTAAATATATGTAAATATTAATTAGATGGATCCCACGTAATATACTATACAGAAAACCCTACAAATCTCTGACCATCTATAAATATCCAAGCCAAGACTCATATAATCGACCATCATCAAAAACTCAAATCCCTTTCGCCATGACTACGAATAACAATGTTTTTTACTCAAAAAAATCTGCAGTGAACTTTTATGATGTTATTTTTTATGTTTTCGATTTAGTAAATTTATCTTATTTTAGAATGTTAACTTTATATATATATATATATATATTGTTGTTTACTGATTCTGGTTTTGGTTTATGTGCAAGTGAACTATCATAATGATTTCTCTTTTGAAGTATATGATTTGATTATCTTCACTTTCTTTAGTTTTTTTCCTGTGAATTAAATGTTCACTTTATATATATATATATATATATACATATTTTTTATTTACTGATTCTGGTTTTGGTTTATGTGCAGATGAACTGTCATAATGATTCCTCTTTTGAAGCATATGATTTGATCATCTTCATTTTCGTTAGTTTTTTTCCTGTGAACTAAACATTTGTCTTTTTTTTTTGGACGAACTAAACATTTTTCTTTTCTATAAATCTCATGTAAATTCATTATCTTCACATTTCATATATATTTTCTAAGTTAGATCTAATCATGATCATTTTAATGTCACAGACTTATTTCATTGGAATAGCTTTGAAAAAAATAGTCGCTAAAAGAATCCAAAATATTTGATATCAAGTTATCAACCTTCAAACATTGGATTGTATTGGTAAGTTTTCTTAACTTCTATTTTCAATTTAATAGTAGTATGACGTAAAGAACAAATAAACAAGAACTAATGTTTATTTGTTAATTATTTATATTTGTATCTAATATATATTTTATAATTAAATATTTGTTATAGAACATGTCATTCAAAAAGTTGTTGCAAAATCAACTAACGAGATATATTCTCTCATAATTTCATGTATTTAATATTTAATTTTATAGTGAAATCTTCTAGGTATATACTTTTAAGTTAGATTTCACATTACTAATGTAATATTATATGTCTAGTTAGTCTAAGTATGATATATACAATATTTCGTGGGTATCTATTCTTTAGGAAGTTACTGATATTTTGGTATCTTAAAATTAATAAGAAGATAATTATACTTCACGTTTAGGAAGTTAGTCATATATCTGCATTCAACTATTAAATAACATTTAATTTAGATATATATCTTATTCTTTAAAAAATCTCCAGTATATGTTTTTTTAAACAAAAATTCGCGGTTACAATTAAAACTTTTGATTTGTTATTAATTATAAAGAACAATTAATTTTTAACAAAGAATTCTTATGTTTACTTCGGAAAAAATTATAAATAAGAATCAAAATGAATTTACTTTGATACAAAAAAAAAAATTTACTTAAAAGTAAAATACTTAAAGTTAATTAATATATATAATATTTGGTTATATTATTACAAATTATGCTTGATATTTTTATAGTTAAAAATTTTGTGGGTTATTCTATGAGGCGTACAAAATAATTATCAAATAAAAAAATAAATTGAAAAATAAATTTGATCATTTTTATTATAACATATTAACATAAACAATAATCAACATGAAACAAATTAAAAAAAAAAATTATTATACCTAATTTCAGTTTTAAATCTTTTAAAATAAATATAATTATTATAATTTTGGATTTCATATCGGCTACCCATCGGCTTAAACGTTTAGTTTCAGATTTTAGAGATTTTTTGTGGATTTTATTGAACTTTTAAATAATAGATTCATTAAAATAAAATCGGGATATATCGAATCACCGGGTTTACCAGTTCGACCACATGTTCAAATTGAGATTAAAAATGATGATTTAAATTTAAAATGTTTTCAATAGTCAAAATTCTTACAGATTAATAAAACATTTGTAACATTTTTAAGTACGGTTAAATTAATTGAAATTTAATAAATTTGACTGAACCATTATGACTATGCTAGAGGCAAACGATCTCATTTACTCCTCTCATAATTACCTAATTGTTAATCAAGTTATAATTGCCAACTAGACCTTGATCCGTGCGACCGCACGGGTATTAATTTTATTTTTTTAATTTTATATTAGATGAAATTTTTGTAAAAATTAATTCTATTACATTAAGTTTTTTTTTTGTGTGTGTTAACAATTTATTGTATCAAAAATATTGGATATCATACAAACAAATCTAACATGTAGACGATATATTGAAAATATTTTTCAGTTAAAGATACATCAAATCTTGAAAAGTAAGAGTTAATATGGTATACAAAAAATGATAAATTAGTTATAACATTTCTCAGAAAGAGCCTGATGTTTAAATTATATTAAATTTTTAATATATAAAACATTTTGATTGAAATTTTTAAAATAAAAAAACGAAATATCAATTAAATGGTTACAAATTACTGATGTATTTAATTTTGACAGAAGAATACCGAAAATTTTGTTGTTTGATTTGTGCAAGTGTTTGTTTTTATATATTTTATATGTGATAATATATATTTCTAAGTTTACCCGTTTAAATAATTGTTTAAAACGACATTTTAAACACACAATTTTATAGTTTATATTGAGTAATTTTATTTTATCTTATAAACTATCATTGTGTCATACTTATTTTAAAAATTATGACTCGTATATCTGCAAAAATGTTTTTTTTATTTTATTTTTATGGATCAACTTATAATGTATCACTAAATTGTTGTATCTACTATAATGTATAACTAAATTGTTGTATCTACTATTTAAAATATATGGTCCTATATATTTCTACTTTTTAACTTTTATTATTCTAAATTTACCTTGAACTATTATTTATATAAAATATACATAACAATAATATGTTTATATTAAACTATGTATTATATATTATATAAATATTTCTTTTTGTGACTTTTATTTTAGTTATTACTTATAATTAATAAAAATATAATTATATATCTTTGAAAACAATATTGTTCATTGACTATTTAAAGATATGTAGATAATTAATAATAAAAAATCCTAAAAGGTAAGTTAATTAATATTGGAATTAATTATTATGTATAGGGAATTAGTAAAACAATTTCTATAGAATTTATTTATTTAATTACGAAAGGTATATATGAAAATAATTATTTTCATTAATTATTGTTGCCATAATTTTTTTTAGTTAAGATTTGATTTTGGAAATGCATTAATTAAAGTGAAAAGACAAAGAATCCTATAAGACAGGGTAATTAATAACTTTAGTGACATGCTATTGTAAATAAAGTGAAAACTAAGAGGTATTTTATATGGGTACTTCTCTTTTAATAATATAGATATCAAACTTTTATTAATTTTAAATCCTATATTTATACTTCCTTAACTAACTTTTTATCAATGTTTTATTTAGCAATCGCAACCTTACATCTATTACAGCCACATTTGTTGCAAATTGGTCCCATCATCATTGTGATTGTTTTATTTGTTTTATTTGTTCGACGAACACATTTTTAGGGTGGGAAAAGAGAAAATACAGATTGAAATCATTGTAGGAAGTCTTAAATTGTCTGCAAAATTAAACTAGAAATATTAACACAAGTTTACTCCGGTATTTAAGCCTAAGGAAATGTGAGGTACGTGGCACGTGGCACGTTACGTGATGAACATGGATTAGATCTCCTCTTTCGGAGGAATAATTAACTCGGTTCGAATCGATCCTCTTAAGTCTTAATTATTCAAAGAAGTGATCATCTGCATATTGGCCTGGTAAGCATAACCTAGACATTATCTTTGTATAGTTGGCATTTTACAAATAGTTTATTCTTGGAAGATATATAGCCATATTGTTATACATAGTAAGAGTCTTTGAAAACCTACTTGGGAGAGTGAATTTTAAGATCGATGTTTCTCATTTGACAATATCTAATAAACTGAAACATGGAAAGCGGATACATGATAACAAAATAAAATGAAACACTATACTACAAGTTATAAGAGCTACTTTTTTCAACAGAGGCTATACTAAACTACAAAGATCTCAAATCCGAAAGCCAATTCGGTGGAATCGAGTCAACCATTATGTTATATATTGAATGCTGAAGTGAGTGAGAATTTCTTACAGTAGGAAAGTTCTTCCAAATGAGTAGTGTAAGTCAGTAATTTCTTCGGTGCAGATACCATCTTCACTAGTTGAGAATAACCAGTTATAAATATCACCTCCTTGTATGATAGGGTCTTCATACATTTCATTCTCCATATCAGAGTTTCATATTCTGCATGTAAAGGTGATAGAAATTTTCATTCCCCATATCATTTTTTCAATTGGATCCTCCTCTTTTTTGAATATATGTTAAACTTATTCAAAAGAAAAATATTTTTTTTACAACAAGTGCTACTGAGTTTTTAAGGTGTGGAATTGACTAAAACCCCTCATGAAAATATTAGTGTGTGACTAACCACATGCCTAATCCTGCTGCGTAAGTGAAGTCTCCCGTTTGTCAGAAAGAAAGAGAGTGATTGCAAGTGATTTTCTCTAGAACCTTTCCAAGAGATACAGCTGGTGTAGGTGTTGCTCGATGCCGCGTGTCGTCGTTCTTCACATCATATGTATTGAAGCTTGAAGTGCATACTGACTGAGAAACCG